AAGAAAAGGGATGACTTGGGTGGGACGCGTTACCGCGTCACAACGTCCCACGAGGTGTGCAAAGTGGGACGCGCACCGTGTCACGCCGTCATCAATGTGTTATTCCTTATCAGGTGTTGTAAAAATGAAGCACCGATGGCTTCGAACATCAAAAAGAATAGGAATGGCTTCATTTAACCACTTTTTGACCAATTGGTCAGATCCACACCGAAAGGCAGACAAAGGCCTAACTCCACAAAATTGCCCAATTGCCATCGTGTTAAGCTGAATTGAACAACTCTTGTCCGGAACGCAGTCAATAATGTTTAGACAAATTACCCCGCTCTCATTTTGGAGTGATTTTTACGGAATAGTTGCCAAGCTTATCAAATTTTAATTGAAGTGCTACTGTATGTATGAAATCAGTCCAACACAACATAAAACTCACTTCAGTCGATTCAAATTCCGTGACACACACAACTGGACCAAAAATCTCTTCCTGCATACAACGAGACGAATCTTCCAAATCGGTTATGACTGTAGGAGCGATATAGTACCCCTTTAAATGTATATATAATAGTGGATGTCGTATCAGTAGCTTGAGAATTGTGTTATCTAATACCGATCCCACATGAACATGAAAGAGTCATGGGCCCTACTCCGTTCATAGACTTAGACTAAAACCCCACTGTGCCTATAGAAGGCTATGAAGTTCTTGCTGCGATTTTTTATCGTTCATGTTCATTTAGGAGCAGTTATATAATTCCAGACTGACGTTCTCCAAATGGCCATCCATTTTGATTTCCCCACCGCAGTGCACTGTCCCGCCCTCCTCTTTGGCTAAGGATACGTATGACTTGACCTGGAAGAAGGAGATTCAGAGTGCATTCAGAGAACAGCTTGAATATTTGCTGACATTACACTTTTCGAAAATCTTTATCCAACGAGCAATCACCTTGTTGAAATGAGCCTCGGAATTCATGGCACCAAGCGTAACTTCTTTGGACGGATCGCCAACTGTAAACTGAAAGACCACTGTTGCGATATTTCATGTGGCGCTCCTTCATACAAATAAATTGTCCCTTTGCATCAATTTAAAGGCAGATGGTGCGATAAAATGGTCATCCGCTAGGGCGAAATTGGAGTTACTAAGGTGAGATGTGCAGTTAAGAGGAAATTCAAAGAAAATGGTCTAAGGGGAGATCCTTGCTTTCCCCTTTGATTTTCACGATGAGTGAGTCTCGTCGGTGTTGACGCCATCGACGTAGATACTATGTTCTGCCTCCTCGCTGAAACGGTGGAGTTCAAAGCCGAGGAACTAGTAGCTGGGGTAGCCAATCAGTGGGCGTGGACAGCCGCAAAGATAATTCAATGCCGCAGGTAGGACTCGTTATGGCCCAGCAAACTGTCCCTCGTCCCGCTCCTTTGAAGGACGTGCCTTACGGTAGACATGTTTGCCCTTTTTCAACATCTATTATCATACCACCTGCCTTATAGATGAAGGTGCAGTGTGCACCTCACTGCAGAACAGGGTGAATAACGGTCGAGGAAATCCTCGACCATAGCTCTCTACCATGCGAGAGTAGTGCCGAGAGTGAACATCCGCGCGGAGAGCACAGACGGCACGGCATGGCGAGTGTGAATGTCCGCG